GGGGAGCAGGGTGTTTTCGCCTTACCCTTTTACAACCCTCTCCCATCTCTCCTTTCTCTGTGGGAGACATCAGCACACCTCAATCTACTTCCTTTGGGATGGTGTTGGGGGGGATCTGATTCCAGCAAATTCCGAGAGACAAAAGAGGAAGTATCCAGTAATCTGGGGAAGCCCCTTGCCAGGTCTGGAAAGAGGAACCCTTTGGCCTCTCCCTCTGCTAGGCTAGGACTGAAAGATCACTCTTTGGGCAAGGCTGAGGTTGTTAGAGGTTATGGGCGATTTCCTAAGTCTGCACTCTTTTCTCTAAATTTCCATGTCCCTTCCCCAAGGAAAGTGCTGGTTTTGACTGCCTTTCTTTGCCAATGGAAGGGAATGGCATCAGGTTATCTGGAATCTTCCCTGTTCAATCTTCCAGAGATTACATATCTTTATGCGCTTTCCTTGCAGCTTCTAGTTCTGACCAGAAAGTGTTGGTGTTATGGGCAACTGTGGCAAACGATGGGGCCAACACAGCCAGGCACACCCACCATTCTCCCCACTTGAGTGGACTCAGGATCCTCTAGAAAGCTGACTTCAAGGTGATGGAGCGAGTAGAGGCTGGGGGGCCAGGGACTCCTGACATATTTCCCATGCTCTGCTTTGATGGGGTGTCAAAAATATGCCTTTTCTGGTTCTTCAAGTCTGACAGCCATTCAGTGCACCTGGAAACTCCAGCTGGGCAGGCATATTTGCTCTGAGCCTCAGGAAACCTTCTCCACTGAAGTAACTGCCCCAGGACACGTGGGTAAGAGCCAGAACATGCAGAGTTGTCAAAAAAACGGGGCAGTGTGGGCTCCAGAGGAGGAGCACTAGAGGGGGCTGTGGCTACAGGGCCAGGCCCTGGAATGAAAAACAATGTAAGTTGTATGGCTGTTGTCTCACAGCAGTTAGTAGAATGATGAGGGAGTGTCACTAGCATAACTGGGTCCCGGGAATGGAAAGCTGAGGGGATGTAAAGATGGTGTGGCAGAGGGATCTGACCTCCTCTAACTTCACAAGGCGGAAGGGGAATGATTAGTAGCATCAACTCCCCAAGGACTGATGCCTATGAGGCAGACGTCAGACTCACCTCCTTTGCCAACCTTTTCACTGCTTCTGCCATTCCTCCCATGGCACTCTCCTTCTCTGTGGGTGTGATCTGTTGCAATTACAAAATCCAGTGGACACACACAATACTGCTAATAATGGGGTTTATTAGCAAAGTAACAGATTACAACTCATGCTCATGATCAGAAAAAGACTCAGGATATAGTTCTTCCATTAGGACAGCTTCTTCTCAGCCACTCCTGCAGGCATACCTCTCCCTGGCCCTCAGCCTCTTGGCACTGGGGCCCTTCAGCTTCTGCCTGGCTTGGGCAAATGTTACAAAGCTTTTCTAGCTCTGCCAGTAACTGTCCGAAAGCAATCAGCTCTCTTGCTCTGTGGGCCAGGAAACCCACCACACCCTTTCTTGGTTGTGTTGCCATTTCTGTCACTGCTTCTTGGTGTCCGAGTCTCTGGTGTTACAGTTGTCTCTCGGGTCTAGGAGGTTCCCAGTGCAGGGATGCAGGATCCAAAGGACGTACTCCAGTCTGGCTCTTCTTTCTTGCTGGTGGTGAAGTTGCCCTTTGTGCCTCTGGGATGGCTCATTTTAAGCCTAGTGGGATGGGAAAACTGGCCAATTCCCTCATTAGGGTTCCATACATCTTAGTTACATGTTCTAACCCACAAGGGTGATATGCACCTTAATTACATTATTGTTAGAGCTCCATCGGCACTCAACGACCACGACACACACCAGGATTCCCAACAGGAGATTTTATTTAAAGAGGTGAAAGGGAGCCTGCACTGAGGAAGGACAGAAGAGGAGGAGGAAGAAGAGGAAGAAGAGGAGAAGAGGAAGAAGAGAAGAAAGAAAGAGGAAGAAGGGAAAGAAGGGAAGGAGAGAGAGAGAGAGAGAGAAAGAGCAGGGGAGAGGGTGGTCTTATATAGACCTGGGGTTAAGAGGTTGTACATCAGAGCTAGGGGAAGAGGTCTTAACCTATCAGAGGCTATGTTGCCTTTTAAAATTCACGCCTTGCAGGAAGCTCAGTTTCAACTTTTTTTAACTGACTTATGACCTTGGGTGGGGCAGCAGGGAATGAAGAAGAACCCAGAAGAGCCACGCAAGATGGCGTGGCATATCTCTAACAATTATCAATGAGGTATCCAATCCCCTTGGTGGGACACAAGCCTCATTTGCACAGTTCCACATCATCATTTGGTGGGAGTTACAAAGGCCATGAGTAGAGGAACCGTATCACTTCACTGCACTGAAGGGACATGGATAAAGATTCTACATCTGGTATTAGAAATGTGTTTAGTGGACTTTAAACTTGTTGTTGGTTTGACACTGGGAAACTGTTTGGGTGTGGTTACAGGCTCTGACCCTGGAATCTGGAAAGCTCTGTAAAGATGATTTCAAGGCAAGGGAGAATGGGCAGTTAAAAGGAACTGGGGGCTAGGTCTGGGAAATGAGCATTAAGGAGCAGTAACACTTCAATGAGTCACGATTCAGCAGATCAGAATAGAAAGTATGAAGGAAAACAAGGGAAGGGAGCTGTCACAGAGCAAAAGAAGTAGGGAGTTACAGAAAAAAGTGATCAGTTAGAAGAGGTAATCCAGCCCCTGGGGCTATGGGACACTCACTCCCTTCACCTGCCATCTGTCTCCAAATCCTCAATCATTCCTCTCCCCAAGCAAATTATCAGTTTCTCCGATAAACATATTTAGGACTTATTTTTCCTTAAGGATTGTGAATTTGAACTCCATGTGCCTAGTAACATAGACTGCTTAGGACAAGGAAAGGATTAACATAGACTGAGTTATGTTTTATTAAAGAAAAATTTGGCTACAGCAAAGGACAACAAAGCATGAAAAAAATTTGGTGAAGGGAAAGAAAACAAGTCAACCTTTCCTCTAACTTTCTCTTCCAGCTGGGTACAGAATGTGGAAAATATGTCTGTTCCATGACTGCTGCTACCTTCACCCTCTGACAGAGCAAGGTGCCCAGGAGACTTCTAAAATTCACTCAGAGGTGGGGGAACCCGTGATGTGTGGTGGCAACATCTTGTCCACTTAGTCAGCTTAGCAGGGACAGTGGAATAAAGTTCCACCCACAGGCCCTGCCCACACAGCTCTCCTCCCCAAGGATCTGATGAGGTCTGACTTTTAGTTAAAGCCTTGGCCACCCTCCTTGCACACATGTGGCCTCTCCCCCGTGTCCCCTGGTGGAGTAGGAGGCCTGATTTCTGGGCAAAGCCTCGCCCACACTCCTTGCATACATGTGGCTTCTTTCCTGAGTGTGTCCCCTGGTGAAGAAGTAGGCGTGATTTCCGGCTAAAGCCTCGCCCACACTGCAGGCACACATAAGGTTTCTCACCTGAGTGTGTCCTCTGGTGTCTAATGAGACTTGACTTCTGGCTAAAGCCTCACCCACACTCCTTGCAGACATGTAGTTTTTTCACGGAGTGTGTCCTCTGGTGGAAAAGTAGGTGTGACTTCTGAGTAAAGCTTTGCCCACACTCCTGGCACACGTAAGGTTTCTCACCCGAGTGTGTGCTATGGTGTGTGTCGAGACTGGACTTGTGCCTAAAGCCTTGTCTACTGCTCTTGCAGAGATGTACCTTCTCCCCTGCATGTGTCCTCTGGTGTACAAGGAGGCTCGCTACCAGGTTAAAGCCTCGCCCACAATCCCTGCACACATGTGGCTTCCCCCTTGAGTGTGTCTCCTGGTGGAGAAGAAGCCGTGATTTCTGGCTAAAGCCTCGCCCACACTGCAGGCACAGGTAAGGTTTCTCACCCGAGTGTGGTCTCTGGTGTCTGATGAGATGTGACTTGCGCTTAAAGCCTCGCCCATACTCCTTGCACATATAAGGCTTCTCCCCTGAATGTGTCCTCTGGTGTATAAGAAGGCGTGATTTCCAAGTAAAGCCTCGGCCACAATCACTGCAAATGTAAGATTTCTCCCCCGAGTGTGTCCTCTGGTGTATAAGGAGACGTGATTCCTGCATAAAGCCTCGGCCACATTCCCTGCACACAAAAGACTTCTCCCTCGAATGTGTTCTCTGGTGTACAAAGAGGCGTGATTCCCAAGCAAAGCCTC